ATCAGAAGAACAATGGTCTGGATTTTCAGTATTCTATCAGGGATGGGAGTTGCTCAAGGGAACACAATAGAATCCTCCAAACCCTGAAGGAATTGTAAGGGAAATTGAAGACTCCACTTTGCAATTCCTCTACTCTTTCAGACGAGCCCTCTGAAAGTATTCATTTAAATTGGAGAATTTGGATGGTACTGAAGAAATTAAGTACATTTAAATACCCACACATCCTTAACTATAAGCCGTAGTTAACCCAGACCTGGACCTGACACAGTGAACTCATCCTAGGACCCAGCTCCACAACAGAACCCTTCTTTTGCCTCAACAGGATCTGACCCAACTTGCACCCTCCTTCCCACCCTTATTCTTCCACCAGAATGAGACTCCCCTCCCCCTACTGCCAGATATGACATACCTTGTCCACAATTTGGACTTGACAGCACCATTTGTGGGAGGTTGCGTCTCAGCTAGAGTGTGTGAGGTATCAAAGAAGTTGACAGCACTTACGTTGGCAGAATAGAGAAGGTCATTGACTTTCTTCCTACAGTGCTGGGCATTCCTCCGAATGGGGACTGAGGTTCAGGTGGCAACCACAGACTGTATAGCATGATGTAGTGTCATGATCTCTGCTGCTCTTGAGGAAGAGGATATTTCACCCCTGTACCACCCAATTCAGCAGGGCTGCAAGGGTGCTGCCAGCAAAGTGGGGTGACAAAGTGGGGATACCCTGGGAATGGTGTGTTATTTCAGGAATAGTGCATGGTGAGGTGTGCCTAGACGTAAGTGATGCCAATGTGTTTTGTAAGTAGTTAATGAGAAGAATTTGGTACAATGTGGTGAGAAAAGTAGCTTGGCCTTGCAGTGAAAACCCCTCCAAAAACCTTTGAGGCAATTCACACTTACCTAAAAAAAAACGTAAATTTCGGCTTATTGTGTTTGAAAATGAAGCATGGGTTTTAAGTTGGAATAAGGATAATTTATGAAGACCGGAGGCACAAATTGGCTGAGCAGGGTTGAGAATATTAAGAGCTATGACTGTGAATCGGCAATGGATAGATAGTCTTTCAAGAACTATTTTATGGCCTTCAGCAACTTTCAATTGTTCAAGAAAATGTCAGTCAACCATGGCTAATAAGTAGCTGACAAAGGAAGTGAAGGATTCTATAAGATTAAAAGAAAAGGCTTGTAAAGTAGCCAGAAATATAATAAATCTGAGGATTGGGAAGTTGTTTTTAAAAAATACAGTAAAAGCGACCACAAAACTGATAAGGAAACAAATAGAATAATAACTCAATCCAACAAAAAACATTTTTTTAAAAATGGGCAGTAATAGCTTTGACAGGTGTATATAAAAAGAAAACAATGTGAATCCTTTTACAGGCAGAGTCAGGGAAAATTAAAATTGGTGATTAGAGAAATGGCGGAAAAACTAAATGATTACTTTAGGTTTGTTTTCACTAGGGAAGCTACAATAAATCTCTCAGCAATGGAGACCTAAATAACCAGAGGGAATGAAAAATTGAAGGGAATTGGCATTGGTAAGAAAGCAGTACAAGAGAAACTAATGGACTGAGAGCTGCTAAGCCTCCAGGACTGATATTCTACATCACATAATTTTGAAGGTGGTAGCTATGGAAGTCGGTGGAATCTTCCAACTCTCCTGGGATTCTGAAATGATTCCAAGAGATTGGAACCTGGTGAATGTCTTCTCATTATTTGAGAAAGGAGCAAGTGAGAAAAGAAGCAACAACATACCATCAGCCTTATCAGTAGTTGGGATAATTTAACTCTTCATCATGAAAGATGTATAAAAATGATCTGATTGGGCATAATCAGTATGGACTCCGAGGGGAAAATCATGTTTAAGGAAAATGTTGGAGTTGAAGATGTTACTAACAAATTTGGTAAGTCAATGGGGGCTAGTACTTTTGGATATTTGGAAGGTTTGTGATGAAGTTGTTCACAGGAGGTTGTCCAGCAATGTTAAAGCACGTGCTATAGGAGTTAATGTACTGACTGATTAAGAATTAGTTAAGAGACAGAAAACAAAGAGGAGGAATAAATTGGTCATTCTCACATTGGCAGACTGTGAAAGATCAAAATTGATCCCCAGCTGTGCGCAAGATACATCTATGGTTTGAACAGGGAACAGGGTGGGCTCTTGTGGCGCACTGGTAGTGTCTCTGCCAGTCTGAGCCAGGGGGTCCAATTTCAAGTGCTACCTACTCCAGTAGAATGTAATAATCTCCTCTGATCAAGTTAAATAGAAACTAGCACGGAAAAGAAAAATGAAGAAAAAAGGGATCAGCTGTCATATTTCTGAGTTTGTGGTAATATAAAATTAAGCAGGGGAGTGTTGTGAGCAAGATAGAATGCAGTTTCAAGAGGATTTGAGCAGGATTATTAATTCTGCAAGAATGTTGCAGATGGAATATAACATGGAAATATGTGAAGCTTTCCACTTTGGTCGATGTAACAGATGTTCAGAGTATTCCTTAAATGGCAAGAAATTGCAAAGTGCAAATGTGGAAAGGGACCTGAGTGTCCTTGTTAATGTCATTTGAAGGTTGATATGCAGGTGCAGCAAACTCTTAGGAAGGTTTCTGAAATGTTAGCCTTATTGCGAGAGGCTTTGAATACAGGGTAGTGAAATCTTGCTTCAATTATGTCCAGGTTTGGTTGGATTGCATCTGGAGTACTTGCACAGTTTTTGGTCATCTTATCTCAGGAAAAATAATGCTTTTGATAGGGACCCACATGGGAAGCTGATGAAGGTAAGAGCCCATAGGCTGTAAGGAAATTTGGCAAATTGGCTGAATGGTAGGAAGCAGAGGGTGATGGCCACGTGGTGACTGGTCACATTTCTGTGACTGGCAGCCTTTGTCCAGAGTGGTTCTACATGGATCAATGAAGGGGCTCTTGCTGTTGTAGTTTAAATAAATGATTTGGAATTGAACTTAGGACAGTTGATCAGTAAGTTTGCAGATATAACACAAATTGGTGGGATGGTAAATGGTGGGGAGGATACCATTGTTTGCAGAGGACATAGTCATCGGGTCTGTTTCTATGCTACGTGGCCCTTTGGTCCAACCAGTCCACACTGAACTATGTTCTCAAAACTAAACTAGTCCCACCTCCCTGTCCTTGGCTCATATCCTTCCAAACCTTTCCTATTCATGACCTTATCTAAATGTCTTTTAAGTGTTGTAACTGTACCTGCATTTACCACTTTCTCTGGCAGTTCATTCCACACATGAACCACATGTAAAAATAAAGATGTCCCTCATATCTTTTTTTTTTAAATCTTTCTCCTCTCACCTTAAAAAGATGCCTGCTAGTTCTGAACTCACCCATTCCCCACTCTAGGGAAAAGACCCTTGTCATTCATCTTATCCATGTCCCTCATGCTTTTATAAACTTCAGTATGGTCAACCCTCAACCTCCTATGCTCCAACGAAAAAAAGATTCTGTAGATAGTGAGTTGGGCAGATCAACAGTAAATGGAACTCAATCCAAAAAAAGTCTGAGGTGATGCACTGGAGCAGGACAAACAAACTAAAGAAATTCATGATGAATGGACAGATTCTGGAAGTACCAAGGATCAGAGGGATCTTGGTGTGTATTTCCACTGTTCTCTGAAGATAGCGGAATGCGTAGGAAAAAGTAGTTAAGAACGTGTATGGGATATTTGCCTCCGTTAGCCAAGGCATAGAGTTTAAGAGCAGGGAGGTAATGCTGGAACTTGTATCATACTCTAGCTGTGGCTTACAGTTTTGCTTGCAGTTCTAGAATCCACATCCTAGGAGCAATGTGATTGCACTGGAAGAGTGCAGAGGAGATTTACCAGGATGTTACTTGGGGGGAGAGTTTTAGTTATGAAGAAAGATTTGATTGACGTGAGTTGTTTTCCTTGGAGCTGAGAAGGCTGAGGGAGGGCATGATTGAGATATATAAAATTATACGGAGCACAGACAGGGTAGATGAGAAGGATCTCTTCCCTTTTGGAGGGATCAAGAACCTAGGGCTTAGATTTAAGCTAAAAGCCAGGAGGTTTACAGTGGATGTTAGGATGGTGATTGGAATCTGAAACTCCATGCTTGTAAGGGTAGTAGAGGCAGAAATCCTTAACATTTAAGAAGTATTTAGATGTAAACTTGCAAATCTATGAGCCAAGTACTGGAAAATGGGATTAGGACAGTTAGCTGCTTGTCTTTGGCTCAGACACATTGGGCCAAAGGGCTGTTTTCTGTACTGTACACCTGTATGCCTCCAAAATATAATTGCCACAGAGGTAGTGCAATGAAGGTTCGCCAGATTTGTTTCTGCAGTGGCAGGACTGTCCTCAGAAAATCAATTGGGCGAATGGATCCTTTATTCTCTGGAATTTTGAAAAGTGAGAAGTGATCCTATTGAAATCTACAAAACTCTTATAAGGATAAACAAGTGAGATGCAAGTAAGGTATTCCACCTAACTGGGGAGTTGAGAACCAAGGAGTTCAATTTAAAAATAAGCCGAAATGCCCTTAAAATTGTACTAGATTTTTATTTTCTCTCTGAGCGTTGTGAATCTTTTGGAATTCTCTAGCTCATAGGACTGTGAAAGTTCAGTCTTTCAGTATAGAGATTACTAAATACCAATGTCATAAAGGGTTATGGTGGTACTGTGATAGAAGATATTTGAAGTGATTGTACTAAGTGGTGGAGCAGGCCGAATAGGCTAAATGGTTTTCTCTCGTTCCTACATCTTCAAACATTTGGTATTCACTTGCATATTGCCACTGTTTTGATGACTAAAAATCACATATTAATTGTAGCTTGTGTGGGAAGTTCTCCTTTTGAGCACAGCCCAAATGTCCTACATGAATACTGAAATTTGGTTTAACCTTTGGGGAATCTGGCACATCTGGAAAGGTTTGGGAATCAAACATATTGTTGCTAATGTTCCAAGGGTAACCATCTCTTGATCAGCATTTGTAAGCAATTGCTCCATTATCTGCTTTACCCAGGAATGCACAAATTCTGGAGACCAATTTGCCCTCTGGTAGTGGACTCAAAGCACCAACAGAGGTGGCTGGATGGTGAAACCAACGGATTGGAAGGCCTACCATTGTTTACTTGGATATCAGCCTGGGGTACCTGGAACAGAAAGGAAGGAAAAAATTACACTGTTTAAGAGCACTGAGAGTCCATGAGGTGTTAGACTCGTCATGTGAGACCACAATTGTTCAATTGTTGCCTTGTGCACTTGGCAAAGGCAAAATGTGTAGATGTGTTTGATTTGTCAGTAAACCGCTATGTGGTGGTTGTTCCCTTTAAGAAATGAGCGCCATGGGAGAAGTCATGTGACCTGCTAGTCCAGTTGGGGATGGAGTCTGCATGAGGTGTGTGTGAATTCACCCAGCAGTTGGATTGAGGAGCTAGGCATGAAATGACCATGCAATGTACTCTGTAAATAAGTTGTAATAAATTGTTGTGTTATGATAATCAACAGATGAGCCAGGCTTGAAGTTATTACATACCATTTCCCCAATTTGGTTTTACACCAGGAGAGGATAGGCTGAGACAATCAAAGAGCCAGACAGTTGTCTTGTTACAAATTAATTTCTCCTCTCCCAGCTCTAATGCTTAACGATAGCTACTAAAATTTGGTTTATTTTTATTTTTCCAAGTCTGGCTTACCAAAAGTTGCAGTCCTTTCCAGTCCAAAATTGTAATTTGTACAAGTGTAAATTAAAACAGGAGATGCAAATTTCTTGATGCTGATGCATTTGATTGGTTTCAATGCCTTTATTGGTCATTTCAGTGAAGAGAGCTCTGTTTATGCCATATTGGTCATCCCTTAACAACATCGGCCTGTCTCCACCGAAAATGTCTACTCCTGGCCGACTAGAGCAGAAGTGCTGCATGCAAGTTCGCCACTTATTTATCCAACTACAGCAAAAATTGTTGCTAAAGGGAATAGCAGTGAGAACCCCAGAATCACCATTTTAAAGCCTTTCTGCATCCAATCCAATTCTAAAATCATGCCATTGAGTCACTAGGGCCTGAAAGGAAGCTTTTTGGTTAATTAAATCCATGTCATCCTTGTGCATTAATCCAGTAGTCCTATTCTCTCTCTCTCCCCAACAGTCCCGCAAATTTTATCTTCCCCTCCTACCAATTCTGATTTTCTTTGGAAATCATTGATCATCTGTTTCCACTTACAGGCAATGAGTTTTCAAGTTATTTCGACATCTGTGTAAAATGTCTCCCTCACATCCCTTTATGAAGTTACCCAAAATCTTAAATCTGCATCCATTTAACCTGTAACATCAGCTAATAGGCACTTTTACGCACAACTGCCTGACTATGTCTGAGAGTGAAAATCAAAGCCTTGACGAATCTTATCCAGTCACTTCCAGAGAAAGGTATTGATATGTCTTCATTTTAAATGTAGTAAGTAATTACCCTCTCTCCTTGTATCTCAAGGATCCAAACTGTCTCTTTCACATTCTGCTTCTTTCTCTGAAACATGCCAGGAACAGTTATAAAGGAACACCTACTCTACAGAAATTGAGGATCAAACCTATTTCTTTTAATCTCCACTCCCAGCTTTAGATATCTGTCTGAAGTGATGAAAAGCAAAACTCCAAGAGTTTTGTATCAAAAGTCAGACAAAAGTGAGAACCTTACTTTGGTAATACTTTCAGACTATTTCTCAAGGTCAGTAAATGCAGTTCTAAAAAGATCAATCACCAGATCCTTACCTGTCCCAACCGCCACCCCACCCCCATACCTCATCTATGCATGCGCAAGCCTCCCTTCTGAGCCCAGTCTCGCACCAGAAAACCGCAGACTCTAGAAGATTTGAGTCCATAATTTCACAGTGAATTTTTCCCTTGGCAAGTTGGGATAGCTAACAGGAAGAGTTTGTACATTTTCCTATAAAGCCAGAAGTCACACAACACCAGGTTATAGTCTGAGATAGTAAGAACTGCCGATACTGGAGTCCGAGATAACACAGTGTAGAGTTGGGGGAGCACAGCTGGCCAGGCAGCATCAGAGGAGCAGGAAAGTTGACGTTTCGGTTCGGGACCTTTTGGAAGACCCCTCCAGCTCCACATTGTATTACCAGGGTGCTCACTTCACCTGATGAATGGGCAGTGCTTCGAAAGCTTCTGATTTTCAAATAAACCTGTTGGACTATAATCCGGTGTCATGTGACTTCTGACTTTGTCCACCCCAGTCCAACACCGACACCTCCACATCATGACTATCCTATAAAGTAGGAGAAAATCCATTCTTGCCAGCTCTTGTTCATTCTGGGCTGGCAATTTTAGTGAATCAATTAGAATATGTTGAGAAGTAGAAGGCCATTGAAAAGATGAAATAAGAACAGAATAATTTTAAAATAATTATTTGCTGTTTTGAGATTTTTTAAAAGACAACATTTTTGTTGTTGCAATAGTATCAATGGGAAAATCACTTGTGTTATTATTTGTCCTGCCTGTAACTGAGGAAAGCTGCTTTTATAGTGAATAATACAATAAGTTGACTTGAATTAGGTATCAGTTTTGACTGTTGCCTCTGAGTCAATTGGCTGACAGTTTAAGTTTCTCTCCAGGATGCAATCAAGGATTTGACATTGAACACCTGGTGTTGCACCAATAATATTTGTTTTCTAATGTTGCCAAAATAGTTTATTCTTTGATGTTTGTAGGACATTGTCCTGCACAAAATTGTCTGCCATAATTCTTTGCATTGTAACAGTAACAATATTTCATTGATAATCTATGAAACAGATTGGGGCACTTCGGGGTTCATGAAACATGCCATATAAATAAAAATTCTTTTTTCATTATTACAAAAAGAATCCAATGTTAGGATTATGCTACATAAGTTTATTATACATTTTACAGATATCTAATGGGAAGAGACTTTCACTCTTCGGCTTAAGCCCCAGAATTATTTCTTCCTGGAATTTCCACTCAGCCCTCGGTTGACATAGTCCTATTAAGGATGGATGAAGCTACTTGTCAGACAACCTTTATATTCTTGGCTCATTTTCAGGATGCAATTACATTCACAAATATGCAATATTGCATGCAATTCAGAAGAATCTTCGCAAAGTCAGAAAGAAAAATTACATCAGTAATTAAGAGACAAAAAGTGACATTGAGAAATAGCTTTCTTGTATTAACTATTGGTAGCATTCTGAGACCAAAGGCATTCGACAATCCCACCAGTGAAAAGTTCATGAAGGCTTGTGAGATTGTGCTGTCTTGTCATAAAAGATTTGAAGAAAGCTAGATAATTTCATGGCATTAAATTGCCAGGTTTAAAAAAAAACTGAACAATGTTCAAAGATTATTGTAATAATTTATGATATGTATGAATATAACAATTTTGTTGAACTGCTGAAGTATTGAAATTTCATAACTATGAGGCTCAGAAACCTAAATTAACTGAACATAATTGGTATCAAGTCATTTTTAAAAAAGGAATATTCAATAAATCTTTCAATTTCCCTCAAGAATTTTTATAAATTAGAAAGTAATTGATAACATCATAATTTCCTTAGCATGAACAATGAGTTAGAAATGGCATTATGTCTAATTTGACATATTTAGGCAGTCGCCTCAATAAACCTGATAGTTGCTTCCAATTTAGAAACATGAGCAACTGTAGTACCTGGGGACAGTAAATTACCTTGGCATTAGTTTGTGATGACCCTTAATAAAGGTACAAACATAAACATTTGGTTTAGGTCCTACAGCAACTCCAGTATAAAAGCCTAATTAGAAGTTCAGCATTTGTCTGTTCAAGTAGATGTAAAAATCCCAGTTCATTAGTTGAAAGAGACCAGGGAGGTGCCCTATACAACACATTGGTCCATTAAATAAACTGATCACTTATCTCACTGCTTTTTGTGGGTTTGTTAAAGATAACAGCTAAGTAACAAACTACAATTCAAAATGGCTTTAGAATTTTCTGACTACACTAAATGTGCAATTAAAAATAGATTTATTTCTTTCTATTTTCACCCTGCCCTTTGAAATTCTCTTCTAAAATTACTTTTAGTTGCTAACAATCCTCTGGTACTAGAAATGTGACCTAGCATTTGGGACTACTCCAATTGAATCCTAATAAGGACAGCACAGTCCCATTAACTAGTGGTCCAATGGCCTCATTAGGAGACTAACAATAAGCTACAGATGCCACTCAACCTAGCAGAAGGTATAGGGTGGAAGGTAATCAAGAGGGAGTACACATAATAGCTGGTAGCAGTCTATAACCTTGCTCTGCTGTTGTAGTTTGTTTTTAAAGCTTGCTTTTTAAAAACAATCTCTGTGGAATTCAGGCTTAGCTGCTCGCAGATGAATTATTCCAAAACATAGCAGGCCCACAACTAGTTTCACCAAGGTTAAACTGTTTCTCGTCCCTTTGTTTTCTATCCATTTGTGGGATGTGGGTGTTGCTGGCTGGCCAGCATTTCTTGCCCATCCCTAGTTGCCCTTGAAAATGTGTTGGTGAGCTGCCTTCTTGAACCGCTGCAGTCCTCCTGCTGTAGACTGACACACAATGCTATTAGGAAGAGAATTAACATACACCAGGATCTAACCCCTGCTTTGCATAGGGATGCCTCTACAGCACCAGAATCAACATGACATTGGAAGTGCTTCTACACTGGTGCACAGCAAGTCTACTCCTAAATTGCATCCATTATTGGAAGACAAAAGTAACTATATCCTAGTTTAATTGCACTCTGTTTATATTTTTTTCTTCAGGCTTTCTCACTTCAATTCCTTACTTCCAACTCAGTATCTGTTCCAACTCCATCATTAGTATCCCTTGTAAAGCACTCTTAAACTGCTGGTAGGAGCGTATTGCTAATGTAAATTGTGCTCAGGATTCCATCTGCATTTCACGTCCTTTTTAAATGTAGCCATTGAGGCGCAAAAAAGATCGTACACTTCACAGAAATTGTTTCAATTGCTAGGAAATTGGTGGTTTATAATGAGGAATTAATTGGTTAACAAAAGTTGTTCACCATAGAATGCATTTTTATTTTAGTGCACTACATCACACAAGTTAAGTTTAATGATTGATCAACATGACGTCTGATATTGAAATGGAAAATCTACAGGCAACAAGATAGGCTCACATGTTTTTTATAATTGTTCATAATCTCTAATTTAAATGTGTGTTTTTGTTTTGAATTATTGTAATTGCTATCAAAATGTACTGTAATTTATTTGGTGATTATGAAATATATTATGTTCAAATATAATTGATAAGTAATGTGAATTAAAACAGACAAAGTGATATTGTTTGTTGCTAAAACCATGAAGGATGCACCTCATAAATAATATAACTAGCAATTCTTGAATAAGATTCATAATGTCTTATTTAAATTGGAGTTGTCACAGCATATAGTTGATGTCAATTTTCTCCTGCCATTTGGGAAGACGACAACATGTGACCTGAATTTAAGTTGAGAAAAAAATG